GATCTAACTCAATAGCAGAATAGGTCAAGGGGCTGAATGGCCTCTTGCTGGTCTTCTGAATTGTTTGTGATATCAATGAATAGTTTGATATATAGAGTAGAATGAGAGGGTGTCAAATAATATAACATGGTGGCATTACAAAATGTTCAGGAGCAATGTGAAATCGTTGGGAATTCTGTGAAATGCTCTGAAACAATAGGGAAGAGAGTCAAATAGGGAGATGGAATGTGGAAATGTGTGAATAAGGATGTATTGCAGAAAGTGGAAGAGAAACAGAAATTCTGAGACAGCTTAAAATTGTGTGAAGTGGCTTAGAAGATCATGAAATGAAGAGAATCGGGGTTGGACAGTGTGAACTTGTGAATATTTCCCCAACAGTCCTGCAAGATCAAAGTGTAATCAATTTAAGCAGCTTGCAATCTGGCTTCTGGAGTTGGGGCTCTGGGTTTTAGATGTCTCAATGCTGCGGATTGTAGGTTTCTGGATGTGATCACCCTGCAGCCTAAAGGTGAGCAGCAAGACTGGGAATGGGTGGCAGAAAGGCAATCAAGGAGAAAGAGGCAGAGAGCACCTCTTCTGGAGCACTGTGTCCTGCTCTGGTCACCCTGGTAGAGGAAGGATATTGCTAAACTGGAGGGAGTCCAGAAGAGATTTACCAGGAAGTTGCTGGGAATGGAGGGTTTGAGTTATAAGGGGAGCTGGATAGGCTGGGACTTTTTTCACTGGAGAGTGGGAGGTTGAGAGGTGACCTAAGAGATGTTCATAAAATAACGAGGGGTATAAAGAAGGTGAATAGCAGGTGCCTTTTCCCTTGGGTGGGGAATTTCAAACCTAGGGGGCATACTTTTGAGGTCAGAGGAGAAAGATTTAAAAAAGACATGAGGGACAATTTTTTTACACAGAGAATGGTTTTCCTGTGTAATGAACTTCCTGAGGAAGTGTTGGATGTGGGTACAGTTACAACATTTCATAGATTCCCTACAGTGTGGAAACAGGCCCTTTGACCCAACAAGTCCACACTGAACCTCAGAGCATCCCACCCAGACCCATCTGCCTATAACCCACTTAATCTACAGACCCCTGAACACTACAGGCAATTTAGCATGGCCAACTCACTTAACCTTCACATCTTTGGACTATGGGAGGAAACCCATGCAGACATGGGGAGAATGTGCAAACTCCACACAGACAGTTACCAAGGCTGGAATTGAACCTGGGTCCCTGGTGCTGTGAGGCAGCAGTGCTGACCACTGTGCTGCCCCATTTAAAGGACATTTGGATGAGTACATGAATAGGAAAGGTTTGGAGGGATATGGGCCAGGGCCAGGCAGGTGGGACTAGTTTAGCTTGGGATTACATTCAGCATGGACTGGTTGGACCAAAGGGTATGACTCTACGAATATCCTGCTGAGAGTTTCCAAGAAAGAGTCAGACCGCTCTCAAAACGTAAACCCCTTTTGTCCCTCCACAGATACTGCCTGGTCTGCTGAGTTTCTCCAGCATTTTCTGTTTTATTTCCTATCTCCAACACCCACAGTATTTTGTTTTTAGTTTAATACTGCTGAGAGTGACAGGGCTGCATTTCAATTACAAACAGGAGGCCAGTAATGAGGCTCGACACTATGTGGAAAATTGCATTTCCAGAGTGCAGTGCTAGCTGTCACAGCCTCTGGGTCAGATCTGTAAATTTGTAGTTATTTGCTGATCCACCTGTTCAAGGATGTGATGACTAAACCTCTGGTTTGGGAGGAACTTGAACTCCAGCCTCCTGATCCAGAGGTAGGGACACCACCATTGTGCCACAAGAGCCCTACTGCAATTTTCTTTGGGTTAGGAGTGATTTTGCTGCAAATTAAATAAGCTCCGAACCAGAGAGAATGGGATTGCCAATCATTCAGCAAAGATTCTGGAGCATTAGGATGAACAGCTGACAGGGTCACTATGAGAGAAAAAACATTCCTTCCCGTTTGTGTTTAGTATTTGTGAAAGGCGAGGGTTCAACTAGGACCAATTGAGAACAGTAATTTAACTTGTCGCCCACGGCTACCTTACTCTAACCTCCTGGTTCTTGCTGCTTCCTCTCCTTGGCATTGCAACACCAACACAGCTGCTGCTAGTGCCAGGCACCAGCTCTCACTGCTCAGAGGGGCACAAGGAGGGCAGTGCACGAGGAGGGCAGTGCACGAGGAGGAAGGTGCACGAGGAGGGCAGTGCATAAGGTGGAAGCTGCACGAGGAGGGCAGTGCACAAGGATGAAGGTGGACGAGGAGGGCAGTGCACGAGGAGGAAAGTGCACGAGGAGGGCCGTGCATGAGGAGGAAGGTGCATGAGGAGAAAGGTGCACGAGGAGAGCAGTGCACGTGGAGGGCAGTGCACAAGGAGGAGAGTGCACGAGGAGGGCAGTGCACGAGGAGGGCCATGCACGAGGAGGGCAGTTTAGAAGGTGGAAGGTTGGGAATGTAATAGTGATGAGAGATTGTTTGGTTGAAGGAACAGACAGGTGTATCTGTGGCCGTGTGTGAGAGTCCAGGACAGTGTGTTCCCTCACTGGACCCTGTGTCAAGGTTATTACTGAGTGGTTATAGAGCTCCCAGACACTGTGTTTGACAGCAGGCACAAGGAGCTGAATCCACAGATTGTTGGTGTAAGCCAGAAGCTGTAGTTAAACTCATCCTTTATTCATGTGCACTCCTAACACTAATCTTCCTCTCACTTCCATCAAGTAATTCGCAGAATTCCATTTCTAATCTTTACAGAGATTTAAAAAAAAATCTTCCCCCAGTTTCTGCTGCAATAAACACCTTTATTCACTGTCGATTTTCTCAACTCCTTACAAAATAAGCCACGCAGAACCTGCCAATGCACACACCTCACCATCCAGCCCACTCCCCACTCCCCACTCCCAGGTGCAGTGTCAGCTGTGACTCAGTGAGTAGCACTCTCGCCTCTGAGTCAGAGCATCAAGTCCCCTTCCAGGGAAGGGAGTATTAGATCCAGTCTGACAGGCCCAGGGCTGTCATGATGACCTGCCCTAAGGGGGTTCGGCTTATCTTTTGGATTTTCTAAATGACCTGTTCAGAGATAATAGGATTACAGACCTCTGAATAGATGTCACCTGCCTCAGAGATAGGGACACTACTACTGCACCATGGTTAGCGCAGTTACCTGGATGGATGATGACTGATAGCGACAGTGTGGGTTCAGTTCCCAAACCGGCTAAGATTATGCGAAGGACTCTCCTTCTCAACCTCTCCCCTCACCTGAAGCATGGTGGCCCTCAGATTAAACCACCACCACCCATCTCTTTCTCTCCATGTAGAGTCTTCCCGTGCCTGTGTGGGATTCCTCTGGGTGCTCCGGTTTCCACCCACGATCCAAAAAATCCAAAAAAACTAGGTGAGTTAGCTGTGGGAAACGCAGGGTTACAGGGATAGGGTGGGAGGCTCTTTGGAGGGTCGGCGCAGACTCAATAAGCTGAATGGCCTCTTTCTGCACTGCAATGGTTTTTATGATTCTATAATAGTACAGCAGCCCTATGGGCATAGAATCATAGAGATGTACAGCACAAAAACAGACCCTTAAGTCCAACCAGTCCAACCAGTCCATGCCGACTTGATATTCCAAATTAATCCAGTCCCATTTGTCAGCATTTGGCCCATATCCCTCTAAATGCTTCCTATTCATGGACCGATGCCTTTTAAATGCCGTAATTGTACCAGTCTCCACCACTTCCTCTGGCAGTTCATTCCATACATGCACCACCCTCTGTGAGAAAATGTTGCCCCTTAGGTCCCTTTTAAATCTTTCCCCTCTCACCTTAAACCTATGCCCTCTAGGTTTGGATCTCCCTACCCTGGGGAAAAGACCTTGTCTATTTACCCTCTCCATGCCCCCCATGATCTTATAAACCTCTATAAGGTCACCTCTCAGCGTCCGACGCTTCAGGGAAAATAGCCCCAGTCTATTCAGCCTCTCCCTGTAGCTCAAACCCTCCAACCCTGGCAAAAACCTTGCAAATCTTTTCTGAACCCTTTCAAGTTTCACAACATCCTTCCGATAGCAGGGTGGCCAGAACTGAACGCAGTGTTCTAATAATGGCCCAACCAATGTCCTGTACAGCTGCAACATGACCTCCCAACTCCCATACTCAATGACTGACCAATAAAAGCAAAGGTGACTTTATCCCTTAAGAAGTAAGGAATAAAAGTTTTACCAGGCCATAAGGATGGGTTTATCTTCCAAATGAGACTTTATAATGAGGCTCTGTCCTGTCAGATGGATGTGAAAGATCCCATGGCATCATGTTGAAGGGGATGGAGAACAGATATCCCTGGTGTCCATCCAATAATTATACCCCAATCAATACCACAGAAACGGATTCTCTGCTTCCCACTATTTGGTTTTTTGGTGGGAGCTTGCTGTGCGCACAGAGGAGGCTATTGTGTGTCTACGTTGTATGAGTGAGCACACGGGTCTTTGGTTGGGGGTAAAGTGCTTTGGGACCCCCATGGGGTTGTGATAGGAGCCACTAAAACCCAGGTTCCATAGCTTAGACCCAATTTCGTGAATTAAGCAGAGATACTATCAGAGCTGTGTTAACGGGAAACTGAAGGGATCCTGTCTTCAGGTCACCCTTCCCAGAGCTGGACAGTAAATACAACACTATACAGTCACTCCAATACCCTGTTCTAAGGCAGGGGCAAATATACCAGCGAAAAGCTATTTCTCCCAGCGAACACGCACTCTCCCAGTTTAATTCGCGCATGAAATCTGATCGATGCCAATTTCAGCCTGAAATATCAACAGCCGCAAACTGCTCACGGTTTCAGGATAACCCTTCAGCTGCTGCTTCGCCGTGATTTCCGATCCTCCAACAATTTAAAACAAACTAGTAAAGCATTGTTAAAAAAAACACACAGGATGTTCAAATTGTTGCAATCTTTACCACATGGGGAAAATCGCTCTTTCAGACTTGCGTGTAGAAGCTCAGGCTCACTTACCTGGGTGCTGGGCTCCGGACTGTCTGTTTGAATCCCATCCACACCTTTCCACCGGCCATTCGTCATATTCAGAGTGAATAGGGAACGTGCTCTCTCATCGGGAGCCCCACACAACTGTACTAGAGACAGCACAGAGAAAGAGAAGGAGGGAGGGAGAAGGACAGAGAGAGAGAGTGTGTGTGTGTGATGGAGAGAGGAGAAAATAATAGAGAATGATGGAGCGAGAGATAGGAGGGAATGCTAGAGAGAGAGTGATGGGGGGAGAGAAGGAGAGAATGTTAGAGAGAGAGTGGTGGAGGGAGAGAGAGGAGAGAATGATAGAGTGAATGATGGGGAGAGAAGGAGAGAATGTTAGAGAGAGAGTGAGTGGTGGAGGGAGGGAGAGGAGAGAATGCTGGAGAGAGAGAATGAAGGCGATAGAAGTAGAGAATGTTCGAGAGAGGGAGTGGTGGAGGGAGAGAGAGAATGATAGAGAGAGAGTGATGGGGAGAGAGAGGAGAGAATGTGGAGAGAGAGGACAGAATGATAGAGAGAGAGGATGATGGGGAGAAAAGGAGAGAATGTTAGAGAGAGAGTGACGGAGGGAGAGAGAGAATGATAGAGATCGGTGGAGGGAGGAGAGAATGGTAGAAACCGAATGACTGTGAAAGAGATTGAGAGATTGATACAGAGGATGAGAGAAAATGACAGAAAAACAGAGAGAATGATAGTGACAGAGGATGATAGAGAAAGAATGATGGATAGATAGAGAGAATGATAGTGATAGGGAATGATAGTGATAGACAGAGAATGATGTAGAGATACAGAGAGAATGATAGAGAGAATGATAGTGATAGGGAATGATAGTGATAGACAGAGAATGATAGAGAGAATGATAGAGTGATAGGGTGTGTGGGAGGGTGGAGAGCAGAGATCCAGGTAGACTTTCAGATAGAGACACACGAGAGAGGAAGGCAGGGTAAGAGAGAGAGCGAGATAAAGCAGTAGGAGTACAGAGAGAGAGAGAGACAGAGAGCTGAGGGGAGTGTGGATCTAAAACATCAAGGAGGAACCTTCCTGACCCTCAGGGTCGGTGGAGACTTCAATGGATTTCCTGGTCCGTAAGAACGAGGGTCAGTAACAGTTTCAAACTCCCCGCTGCAGCTTCCTGGAGCAGTTGGCTCAGGTTTGAGAGTCCAGACTGTCTGCAAGGCTTCCCTCCCAGCCCTTCAGCAGGGAGGAGGGGGGTCAGACAGGCAGCGGGCTCAGGGACAGGGGGAGAGAGAACAGCCTCCTGCCTCCTCAGCTCCTCTCACTCGCTCCTTTCCAACTGGAACCTGCAGGTCATTCAAATCCTGCCAGTCCCAGCTCCCCTCCCATCCTCAAACAAAACTCGACTTCAAAACCAGCTCCGTGTGGGATGGGAAGGGAGCAGAGGGGAAGCTGAATGCCCAGCCAGCGGCTGTATAATTCCTGGCAGCGGGTAGTAAATTTCTCAGCTACATCCAGGCTGTGCATCAGGAGGAAAACTCTCTCTCTCTGTGTTCACGTACAGCCCTGCCCTGGGAATATTTAACCAGGGGAAGAAATCACTCCCCAAGGTCTCAAATAGACTCTGGACGGCGGTAACGTAGAAATGTGACAGAAAAAGCAGGACAACACGTCAGCTACACACAGACATTGACACAAACACACACACACACA